CCCCAAAACCCCAAAACCCCAAAACCCCATTGGAGTTAAATCAATAAGAACTAGAACATCACATTTTAATTTGTTTTGAAATTAATTGAAATATGAAGCTCCAATTCTTGACCCACACACGAATACATACATATATGAAGACGAAATAAAGATATGTATTTTTCAAACTTTTACTTAAAAATCAATAGGTAATTAAACCATTTATAGGTCAGTATACGAGTTATCCGTTTGCTCGTGGAAAGCTTTATTTGAAGCAGCATCGTCGTAACCGCCTTGGCCTCTGGGACTTGTGCTTCATGAAAGGGAGGAGCTCTTATACTTAACAATTTCTTGAAAGATATAGTGCAAAATAGCTTTAGGATCGTCTGCATTTGATATATGTTAGCTTACACCGAGAATATCGCCACATTCTTTAATGTAGTATTCAATATCGTCATCAGAACATTTGTTGGTTAACTGAGCCATTCTTATTCTAAGAAAAATGATTAGTATTATATTGATGTTGCTTACTTTTCTGAGGCGAATTGTTCGTCAAGGTCAAAGAGGTCAAGGGATGGAGGTGGTAGTTCTTTTAGTGTGGGTGGGAAGACTGCTGCTTATAAGGCGGGCATAGGGGTTTCAAATTGAGGAGGAATAAGTGTTAGGGGTTCGTGCTTAATATTGAGCTGCGTAAAGAGTCTAAGAGCTTCAGGAATCAAATCAGTGTCGAATTTGTAGAGCTTAGAATTGTAAAGAGTCATGAAGTTTCTGGGTAGCTCGTCTGATTCTTGTAGTGTGGATCTTAATCTATCTGCCAAGGCGGTAATATCTGGCACGTGAGCGTACTCCTGAATTTCAGGCTCATCTTTAACATTTCTTTCGAACTCTGCATCTCCATCTTAGAGCAACCACTTGAAAGCAGCCTCTTAGATTTTTTAATTGTCTTCCTTCTCAAAGAATTCATCTTCAAGAAACATAATTGAACCAATTACAAACAGTTTACCTCCTCTGGGAGACATATAAAATGCTCCAACAGGGCGGTTGGGGGGAAAACTGATTGGTCCACTTGAGAGAATAGGAAAGCTTGGCTTTCTAACATTTAAAGATGCACCATAAGGATAAACAAACTTCAAACCTCCATTCTCCTCCTTGCTTAGTAAATCATCCTTAGTGTCCTTATATCTTTTAGCAAACTTTTGCTTTCCGTTATCATTTTCTTTAGGTCTTCCAAGAGCCACTCTAAATTAGAATTAATAATCAAAGAATATGAAAGACTAAATATCTTACCTTACTAGCTCCTTATTCAGGATACCGTTACCAACATATGCTTCTTTAGGATGTAAATACTTAAAAAAGGTCTTTCTAATGACAGCATCATTGTTGACACTGATTCCTAGCTACTCTAATAATACATTTATGTTGGTTCCTAGTTTGTTTTCTCCTCCTTCGTGCATCAATAACATAACCTTCCCTCCATCATCGATATATTTTCTAATGTCATTCAATTCTTAAGTGTTAAATGGCATTCTTGGTCCTCCAAGTAGTAGTAGATCACATTCTTTTAATCTTTTCAAGTTTAGATCTCCTTTGTTGATATCACACTATAAGAGAATGTTTAGAAGTCATGATTTTAAATTCAAATAATCAAGTTTCATTGCATTAGAAACATACTTTATATCTGGTCTTTAGCTTTTGGACGATCTTCTTATAACCCTGATTAGGGTTCAACATCTCCTTTTTACTTGTATCAAATAGAACCTAAAAGTAAAAGTTTAAATTAAATCAAAATTTTATGATGAGTAAGCCTTACTATGTATTTTTTGTCACCATCAGCCGCGGCTTCTCCTCCTGCCTTGCTCATAATTAATTTGAATTATAAATTTTAAATTTCCTTTTTTGATATAATATAAATCTTCAAGGGGTTTTGGGGTTTTGGGGAGATCGGAAGAGCGTCGTG